TTTAAAATTAAATAATTAATAAAAATATATTTAACATTAATTAAGGGATGTTGTTATTATTACCACTCAGTTATTGTGATTACTTATTTTTATTTTAATATATTATTATATTTTTAATTTATTTAAAAAATAAAAAAATATAATACAAAGATATAAATTATAATAGTTAGTTGAACTAAAAATATATAATATTAATTATTAAAAATGTGACAATAATCTCATCTAAAAATAATACTAAAATTTAATAGCTCACGTATTAACTTATCTAGGTCATGCATTTTAATCCACTTAATTAAATGAAGAAAGTATAAAAAATATCTTGAAATATATATATGTAAGCTGATTTAAAAATATTTTAATTATTAAAAAAAACATAATTAATTAATTAATTGATTAATCAAATAAAAGACATGCCTGCACTCTGCGGATTAATATAAGGTGCAAATACAAGCACCAACTTCTGCGTAACTGGAACGTACAATAAAGAACGATTACTTGAACTCTACCAAGTGAGATTACTTGAACTGTACCAAGTGATCCGATAATCGTGCATTTTATTAAGGTTGATAAGTTATTTATTAAATTTGGGAATCAAATTTTTAGTTATTAATATATAATAATATTAACATACTAATTATTGACTTTAAAAAAACACGTTTACCCACAAAAAAAGGTATAATAAAGAACATTATATATTTTTCATGGAATAAAAAAAGGCATATTGAGTGAAAAAATAATATGTCAGACTATTCTTTGATTAGTCTGAGCAGAACTTTTGCTCCGATGGTATGCATGTCGTATTTTTATAAAAAACTATTGTCCAGTTAAAAATATATTAAATTATATAATTTTGAAAAGTATATATTAAAAATATCACATAATTAAATTAAAAGGTTTTTATTTAATATTTTTAATTTTATAATTTAATAACTCTAAATTATAAAATAAAAACCTTCTTTTTCAATTGTCCAAGAATGTCCTAACCTCATCAATATCGCAAGAATCACGCATACACCTTTTTATCTTAAATTACTATTGGTATTAATCAAGTCGTCAGTGTCTGTAATTTTACCAATAAACTTGGCGACGTTGATTGCGCCCCAGACCCCAAAATTGGGGTCCTTGCATTTATCTTTTGTCTTTGTGTTTCATAACCGGCTGGAAACTTGTGAAATTGCACGGTTTAATTAACTTCTTTTGTATTTTGACGTGATTAAGCCTTTATTCTAAACCCTGTAAAATAACTAAAATTACATACGCTTGGTGAATGTGTTCATTTTAGAGATCCAAATCCAATATACAAAAGAAATCAAACCCAAAAAGAACTAGGAGGAGCTAAAAAAAGATAAACTCTTAAAATAAGAAAAACTACTATATTTTACTAATAATTTATATAATTTAGTAGTAATTTTTTTTAGTGAAAATAAAAATTTTAAATATAAATCATACAATATACAAGTAACGTGAGTCAATAGAAAAGAAAATATTATTTTTTATTGTGTAATCTAATATTAAAAAAAAACCACCATATTTTTTTTTATTTCAAGAGGTATTTAAATTATTTAAAAGTACCTTAGGCTCATGACGCAACAATTATAAATTAGTGCATTCCTTAATCTAAAAGTTGGGTTCATATCTTTCCACTCCAATTGTAAATCTGTTAAAAAATATATACATTTAAAAAGTTAGCTTTTGATGGTGTCCAATTAATTGAAAGTCATATCACAATGCATTTATTCGAATGCTCTTCAACGATGGCATAAAGTCATGAGGCCTCTTATTTTTAGGTAATGTTATTTTTCTTTTAAGAAGTAGTAATTGGTACAAACTACATTGTGGGAGGGGAGTGGAAGCCATTGTCTAGATAGCACTAGGATTGAACCCCTGGATTTAATACAATAGCACTTGTTGGGTTAGAACAAGATTGACCTAAGTTATGAAAATCAGCTCAATGTACAATCACATAAAGATTAATTATTACAATCCATATGGTAGGTGGAATGAAATTATAACAAAGACTACATAGTGGATGCATGTGGCAGGTAATTGGTGTAGTGTACTTGTGGTTGCTTTGCATCTTATCACCTAATATTGTCCGTTTTGATATTATTTCAAAGTTTAT